GCCCGTTGTGGCTTGGGAATGCGGATAGCAGGCACGAGTCAAGATTAAGGGCAAGCATCGCCAATGATGTTTATTGTTTTGTAAGGTGTCAGAGATTGCTGGGCTTTACTAGAATGGCTTGTGTGCACACCGGTGTTTGTCCAGGAGTCGTGGTAACTTATGTAAGTCCATGGGCCACAGACCGTTTCACGTCGAGGAAAAGTAGGGGGGTTTTCTGGATCCTCGAATTAGTTGAACTCCGTCATGTTCGAGGAGTCAGCTGAGACAATATTCGGCAGCAGTACTGTACTTTCGCAAAACGAGGTAAGTTCCAACTCTTCTCAGAGATGTTGTGCCCTCGTTGGCCGCCAAGTTTCCTTGATAGGTCTTGCCTTTGAGTATGGTTTCCGTGGAGGATTCTTGGTCAGTCTTTGCTACCATACTCAGATTAAGAGGGCGAATTTGCATGCAAGTTTTGTCATGGCTCATTGAACAGAAACGACTGCGTGCGGTAGCCCACAGCAATGCTCGAGAGATCCTTGCCCGTCCTACAGGTATCCCGGAGCTGGTATCAACCTTTCCGGGTGTGCAAGAGAGTGCAGGGCTGATCATGTTTGATTTTGATGATTACAAAATCTCGTCTTGTTGTCCTCAGGGCCTTCTGAAGTTCAGGGCGTCCAACTGTGCCTCTGGAAGCCGGGGGAAGGGGTTGTATCAGTCGTTGTTATGGGCACCTCAGTCGAGCAGCCGAAGTAGAGCAACTGAACAGTACCGGCACTATTCTCGTTGCCGGCAACCCAAGGTGTTGCAACTCATGAGCCCCAAATCCTGCACTGCGCACTACCCTGAACTCCGTCCCAGCTGCGGCCGAGAATGTAGAGTTCACAAGGAACGACCGAGGGCTGGCATGAGGCCTTCACATCGTGCTTTAATTTGTGGTCCCTTGATCAAACCCACGGCCTCACCACGCCGACCCTCCCGCAAAAACAGCTTTTGCGTCTTGAATCGAGACAACAGGTTGCTTGGATTTAGAGATGGTCTACCTTCGTTTATTGGTGTCAATGAAGAATATACCCAAAACAGATGTTGGCTGCCGCGTCTGGAGTCTAGAGGCCCTCAAAAGTCTGTCTGATCCGCCCTCTGCAGATCTGTATCTATGATCTTTTAAGCCGGCACCTCAGGGGAGGAGTGGCACTGTGGACGTATATGGGTGGTTGTCAAAATTATGGTAATTATGGTCCCTTTTTTTTGGGTACCCTAAAAATTAGGTGCCATATTATAATAGGGACCCCAAAAGGGACCATAATTTTGACAACCATCCATATTTATAGGCTAGCATAGGGATGTGTAGGGATTGTACAGCGTATCAGCAGCTCCTTACTTGCGAGTTCGTGAGCCAAGGGCTTAGAGTTTGAAGTTTGAAGGCTACAGGATGCTACACGGCTCTGGCATAGGGGCAAGGAGCTTGAGGAACCTCTCTGGCAGGTCGTAAGTTTTACAGAGTTGGTTTCTGCAGGTTAGCACCAGACTTCCTACTTATGTATGCTTAATCCTGAGCCTATGTTGTTATGTGTTGCTGAGCTTTTGTTTTGGCAGGTGCAGCTTGCTTTTGATGAGCTACAATTCTGGCAGTCCTTTTTCATCAAGGGAGCGTCTCAGAATCCAGGTTGGCTTTCGGGACTCCTGTTTGGACAAGGAGATTTCACGGTGTACCAGTTCAGAAGTGGGACACCTCTTACTTCAGCTTCCACGGGGAGCCGGGGATTGCAATGATTGCATGGGGCAGTGCCGTTGACCTTTCCTGTTCGATAGTCGGTTCTGAACTGTGTCCACAACGAGCCTGTGCTTACCTTGACTGTTGCCTCTCCCTTCAGTCTCAGATCGCAAGCCCATCCTCATCCTTGCTAAAGCGCACTCTCATCGGTGACAGCCTGAACCCCCCTCTCCTGTGCGCTAAGCCCCTGCCTGCTAAAGCTGGATGCGCGGAGTGCTGAGAGAGGTAAGAGGCTTCAAAGAAAGCCGTTTCTGGACCCCGGATGGATCACAAAAGCAACGCCTTAGCCTGCTTTGTCGTAGCGGGAGCAGATCAGTTGTGTCTTGAGACGTGCTTCTCACGTCACACATACGTTTAAACCTGGTGTATTTGTGGGCATGCAACGAGTTTGGGAGCCATCTCGGGGATCCGATGAGTATGATGCCATCACCAGAACAGCCTCGCAGTGCCGCGGGCTCAATGTAAGTTTGTAATTGAATTTCGGCCTATCTCATGTAGCACCCACATGAACTGAAACACGTACAACATCCTACAAGAACAACTCAGCCAGCTTTCCAGGAGCAATAACGATACGTAACACGCTGCATGCAGAAATCAATCTAGCCAGGAACCCAAATGGGGGTTTCCCAAAGTTAAGGGTACTTTTTTGGGGGTCCCTATAATAAGGACTATAATAATTGGGGTCTATATTGGGGTCCCCTTATTTTGGGAAACTACCAAATATCTACAAGCAAAGTGTTGCATCCCTATAGCCTCAAGCTTTGCCCCTTCGAACTGGAGAGTTCAGTTACCAAAAGCCCTTTGTGAGGCGGCTGGCAGGGTGTTCACAGTGCTTTGGCGAGCTAGACTGTCTTGCACCAGGAAGCCTCAAACTTCCAAAGAACGGCGGAGAAGATGTTGTATTGTAGTTGGGGTCAGGCTGCGCGGTCTAGTATGCAGGGGTCGATTCTTGGGGCGAAGCGCTTCAGAGTGTTAGCGGTGAACATGCAGAATTCCATGGACAGCATCAGTAGTTTCAAGCCATGGTATGGTAGTCGCCGAAAATTGAGGACTCCAGCGTAGACTCCAAAATACTATAATCCGTGGGACCATCAAAATGGTACCCCTAGTAGGGGAAGCCTTCATACCAGCACCAAAACTCCTCGAAGGGGGTTATAGGGTTTAGGGCCTATAAACTCTTTATACAGGGGATTTTACAAGGCACGATGAAAAGGGTTATGAAATACAGGGATGCTAGGAGTTTATAGAATATAGCTCATATCGACGCGGCCTGCTCTAGGTGGCTTCAAAGAAGGCCAATGATCGGGTTCGAAGAGGGCGCTCCTCTCAGACCTTCTGACATCTCACGGCCCCAGATGGATCCCAAAAAGGGAGCCTTCCATTTCGGATGTGAACATCAACCCCGGCACAGGCATCAAGACGTACTGTACCAGCAAAGGTGTAGAGCATGTTTTGCTCAAGCCGCTTTTGTCAAGGAGGGCTTGCTGCGGACGATGCAACTTTCGATTTGAGCTTGTGAAGGTCAGATGGTTCATGACGTCCTTGTTCAAGTGTGGGGCACCCTTTAAAATGAAGAAGTCATGCTCCGGCTCATGGAGCATCCTGTTCGGATTAATACCTGTTTCGTGGGATTGCTGTAAGTCTCCAGGTTAGCGTAAACATTGCGGGCGATGGATTTTGGTATCTTTCTGGGGGTCCGGCATGCCGATCAAAGGAGAATTGCTTGACTTGCCGGAAAGTGCTATCCGGAATCAAATGCGCGCGCAGGTCAGTGATTCTTGCTTTTGCTTCCAGCCACAGGGGGTCCGCAATGAATCTTTGATCCACACTTTTGGTCATGCTTATGTATGGCTCGTTGACACGAAATGCTCCTTGACAGCATTGACCAGGCATAAAAGTAGGCTTGGCCAGAAAGTCGGGGCTGGGCTGGAGGGTGAGCATCCATTACATAGTTAAAGGATCACAAAGCACGATGTACTTCATCAAGATCCTCATGTAAACATGTACACAGAAGAACGACATGATCATCTTGCTTTGAAGGTTCTGTATTGCAGTGTCGAGCTTACTGAGACCTGGATGCCCTACGCCTTCAGCCTGTTAAAGAACGGCCTATTGCGACTGCTCCAACGTTTAGTGGCATGACTTATACAGGCAGATCCTGACTGAACTAGGAGGTCATGAGGTGATGTAGTAGCGACTGCACCAAGTTGCAGACGGTTCCTAAACAGCCTAAAACCTCCTTCTCGCGTGCAATGCGCGGGCTCCAACAATTGGATCCCCTCATGTCCCTTCTGCCCCTCTATAAAAATTGTTCACCCGTTCTTTTTTCAGCCCCCCACGTTTTCACACGCCATGTTTTGAGGGTCGGGGCGCGAGGCTTTGTGGTTCAGGGTCCTGTCTCCGGCGTGAAAGCCAACACATCTTAAACCTAGAGCCAGAACCCTAAACCCGCCAAGATCCGCCAAGCACGCAAAAGCTCCCTCTTGTCCTTGGAGATGATATGGGGTCAAAGCTAGCGTAGCCAGGTTTGCAGCCTCACTTGTGCAGGCGCATCTTACCAACAGCTGGAGCTCCATCAGCGGCTGCGCTCAGATCCAGTGTTTGGCAAGCATAGGATGGGTGTCATTGCCTGCGGGAGCAGAAAGTTTCAATCAAAAGGGATCTTGATGAGGAGACTTCTTGGAGACCAATGTGGCTGTGCACCTGAGCAACTGTACACGCTAAGGCTACGCCTTCGCTTTGCTCCGTAGAACCTCGAGCTTCCTGGCACCATGCTGGCGCTTTGGGCTTAGACAGAAGTTGGAGCCTACGAGCACGTCGTGAGACGGAAATGGTGGCTTATACAGTAACCTTCCGAAATCGGATTTTGTTGGCGTGACATGAAATTTGTACTTTCCCTGCTTGGTTGTGGAAGCCGTGGTTGATGATGCAGATTCGTTGAGCACATCCACACAAATGTCGCAGTTCAGCAGACATGTCCATGCAGTGACTCGGGGACCGGTGTCTTTTGATGATGTATGTGCACAAGAAGGGTTCTTTGAAGCAAGCCCATTCTGTTTTGACAATGCTATAGGGCTACCTTTCTGCACTGGCAATACGTGGGTGGTTGTCAAAATTATGGGCCCTTTTTGGATCCCTATTATAATACGGCACCTAATATTTAGAGTACCCAAAAGGGACCATAATTTTGACAACCACACACGTGAGTATGCGGAATATAGATGAACAATAAAGATGCTACCATCCTATGGCAAGCAAGATGAGTCAAAGCACCACTGTGGAGGTGTCAGCAGTGCGCCAGTGGCTTCGCCGAGATAAGGCGTGATCATATCTTGAGAACCCTGAAGCACACTTCTCGCCGCAATGTTCAATATATCTTCTGGATAATGGGTTGGTTTTTGGAATGTGTGTACGGTTAGTAAGAGCCCAATCCCGAGCTTGTAAGGCTGGCCAGAGGCTGGAGCTGGGGATTTTAGAGGATATTAGGAGGGACTCTTAGTGATGTGGGACCTCTGTAGGGGTAATATGAGGACTGCCTGCTGATGGGGGATTTCTCGGCACTATATAAGGTTTCTATCTGGACCTGGTAATATGGGAATACATGGGGACTGCGTGGTTATATAGGGGATTTGTCAGCATTCTAGAATCCCTATAACAACTAAAAACTAAACCCTACAAAGTCTATAAAACAAATGGGATGAGTGGTCTGTCCTCAGGGTCCCTCCTAAGAGCCCTTGACTGAAACGCTGCAGTGAAACTACGACCCAAGTGGATAGAGTTTAGGGGTACCTAATTGAATAAGGACCCCCCAAAAGGCACCCCCCCAATTTTTGGGAACCTCATATAAAAGCTTCCTTGCAAGTGAGCTTGCCAATCACAGCTGGATCGCTTGCTTGGAACCCTGCTTGCCCGATACAGGACGGCCTGGTTTCATCGCATCCACTCCTGCAGCGCAGCATGGAGGACCGTGACGACTGGGTCAGAATGGAAAAGAAAATGGAAACTATTATAATGGAGAATCAAATGGACAAGAAAATGAAAAATGAAATGGAAACTGGGATCATTTTGGGTTGTATTAGAGATTTTGGCGCTTAACGGGACAGCTCAAGCTGCCCCAAAGCATGTTACAGCCGTGACTTTTGTGATCCATCCATGGACCCAGAGATGGCTTGCTTTGAAGCCTCTACGCTTGGGTCATACGTCTGCTTTGTCCAGGAACTTCAGCATGCTGGAGCTTAGCGCACCGGAGCAATAGCATGAGGCTCGGGAATGATTTGGGAAGATTGGTGCCGTTTAGGGATTGACCAGGGTTTGGTTGAAATGTTTGCCGCAAACCTCTGACTTGCCCTTTCTGGCTGCGGACTCTGTGATCCATCTCAGGGATCTATAGCTCTGGGCATGACGCGCGGATCGTGCGGCTGCTTGAAAGGGTTGCATGGTGTCACACGAGGCACCGCTGCCATGCAGCGCCGCCTTCGATCAAGGGGCCGGGCTGCGCGAGGTCTCCGTTATCAAAGCCATAGAGGAGTATCTCGCCTATCACCAGATGCAGGAGCCCTTAGCCTCTTTCGTCCAAGATGTCGAGCGTGTTGGGCTGCTGCGCAGTTCCAGCGCATTGAGTGTTGTACGAGAGGTCGAGGATGTTCTGTGCAGTTTCGACGCTGGCGATCGAGAAAGGTTCAGCATGGCTTGGGCCCGCCTCACCTTTGAATCGGAAGCCAACCTGCAGCTTCGGCTTCAGGCCAACTTTGCAATCCACCGAACAAGACTTTTGCTCCAGGACGGCCGCGAGCCAGATGCAGCGGAGATGCAGCAGGATCTGGAGCCTTTCCTTGCCTTTCTCAATGAACGTGGTCTAGACGAGATGAGCGGAGATGAAGCTCTGATGCCGCTCTTTGCTCTTCCTTTTGTACAGCAGCCGCACCTGCATCCGGATGTGCGTGAGGTATTCTCATCTCGCTGGTTCCAGGACCTTCGGCGAGATTTGGAAGCTGCTATTCGATCTCAGAAGCCCATACCACGGATTTATGACATTCTTGAGCACTCGCCGGTAACAGAGCACGGAAAGCGGCCGTGGCAGTCGGTGTGGGCAGAGCTGATGCGGCTGGCAGATGCCAGCCTCGATGCCATGGTGCTGCTTGCACAGGGAAGCCCTGTCCCGCCGGTTCTTTCGACAGCCAGGCAGCAGCTGGAATTGCTTCGTGAGCATATTCCCGGAGGTCTTGAAGTGCAGCTGAAGTCCCACTTCGAGAGGCCTGGTGGCTGTCCTATGAGCCCAGCACGCAGCGTCCGCAGCCGGGCAGCCACGGCGCGACCGCAACTGGCACACCAGCTCGACTTTGGCGCCTTGAAAAGGTTCTTCTGCGCAGCACCGCAGGAGCGGCGCGAGGCCTGCGGGGAGGTTGCCGCCACACTTCCTCAAGTATTGCGGGCTGTGCTCCAGCGGCTCGCTTCTGCAGAGTCACCGCTCCCCCAACGTCGGGGCTTCCTGGTCGCCATCACCTGTTTCGATGTGCTCGGGGTTCGCGACCAGCCAGAAGCTTTGCCTGCTCTCTTGGACGAGGTCTCAGAGTTGACGCTTGGCATCTTGGCGGTGCTCGCTTGTGAGGCGGTTGGACGGAGCTACATTGTTTCCAGCCGTGCCAGCGTGACTAGGATGGTAGATTTGCTGAAGTCAAAGCCGCTCGATTCGTCAATCCACATCCAGGCACTTGCTGCAATGCAACGCCTGTCCTTGAGAAGGTCTGCGCAGGACTGCATGATCGAGATGGGCATGGTCGAATGGGCCATACATGTGCTTTGTTCGTCGCAAGAGGAGGGTGCTTCCCGCTCCCCCTCTGAGTTCTCCCTGGAATTTGGCTCCGCCATGCTCATGAACTTGGCCCTCCGCTCGACCGGCAAGCACAAATGCTTGGATCAAGATGTGCTCCCCATGGCCATGAAGCTCATGGAGCATTGGAATCCACAAATCAGGACTCACATCAATGGGACGCTGTACTCGCTGCTATCTCTTGCGGGCTTTCGCGAGTCAGCTCGCAATGCAGGCTTGGAAGCCGCGCTTCGTTCGATTCATCGTCAGGCAAGTAGCCTTGGCGATGAGATCGCAGTTCGGCAGATTGAATACTTGCTGGAGCAATTGAACCCTGAGCTTGAAGAGGAGTCTTCCCCCATCAGTGCGGAGAGTGGAGAGGATGATGAAGATGACGATGAAAACTTCTTAGAGGAGGAAGAGCTGGCTGGTCTTCTACTGGGAGATCGGTGTGGCCATTCGGCCGAGGAAGCCCTCCGCCCCTTTGCCGGCAAGCCAGCGGTCCTAGAGGTTCAGCAGCGCGAGTTTGAAAGTTGTGTGGGTCGCAACTACATGCAGTCTTTGTAGAGGTTTCCGGTCTCACACAGTCTCAATCACGTCCTTTCACACGCAGTTTCAACATGCAAAAGGGATCTGCCATGTATGATGCTATCCAATGCTGCTTTGCAAAGGAATGTTGGCGTTGGCACATCTCGTATGGCACCAACACAAACAGTAACGCGTATGACATCTTACAACGACCATTCGACACGATTTCCAAGAGCAACAACAGTACATAGAATACGCTGCATACAAAAAGTGCCCCGGCCAGGAACCCAAATCTCTACAAGCAGAGCATTGCACTCCTAGAGAAGCCTCAAGTTTTGCCCCGCCGAACCCCAGTTGCCAAGTTGCCAAAAACCTTAGTGAAGCAGCTGGCTGAGTGTTCACAGTGCTTCTTCGAGCTAGAAAGTCTCCCGCCAGGAAGCACCAAACTTCCAAAGAACTGCCAAGAAGATGTTGTATTATAGTTGAGGTCAGGCTGTGAGGTTTGGTATGTAAGGGTCGATTCTTGGGACATCTTGGGACGAAGCAGTGTCTGTAGTTTCAAGCCATGATATCAGCACCAACTCCACGTATCCAACTGGGCTAGCCCACCTGTAATCATGACTCTGTAATCATGGCATCTACCCCTTAATGTTGCGACAGCCTGGTCTCTGCGGCTTCAAAGAAGGCCATGATCAGGTCCGAAGAGGGCGCTCCTCTCATGACCTTTTGACATCTCACGGCCCCAGGTGGATCCCAAAAAGGGAGCCTTCCATTTCGGATTTGAACATCAAGCCTGACACAGGTAGCAAGAGGTAATGTGCCAACAGAGGTAAAATGCATGTTTTGCTCAAGCCTATGTTGACAGTGTGGTGAGAGCTTATGTCAAGGAGGGCTTGCTGCGGGCGATACGGTTCCTAGCATTTGCGGGGCCTCTTAAAGACGAGGAAGTTATGCTCGGGCACCTGGAGCATCATGTTCGGATGCATGCCTATTTCGTGGGATTACTGTGCGTCTCCTAGTTGGGCGATGGATTTTGGTATCTTTCTGGGGGTCCGCCACGCCGATCACATGGGAATTGCTTGACTTGCCGGAAAGTGCGACCCTGAATCAATTGCCCGCGCAGGTCACTGATTTTTGCTTGTCAATTAGTTTAGTTTGTCATGAGTCATTTGTTTGCAGCCACAGAAGGTTCGCAGATTCGGTTTGACCCAAACTTTTGGTCATGCTTATGTATGGCTCGTTGACACGAAATGCTCCTTGACAGCATTGACCAGGCATAAAAGTAGGCTTGGCCAGAAAGTCGGGGCTGGGCTGGAGGGTGAGCATCCAACTACATTCTAGAAACGCTCACAAAACGCGATGTGTCTTATCAAGACCGTCATGTAAGCATGTAAATAGAAACACGACATTATCATCCTGCCGTGAAGGTTCGGCATTGCAGTGCGTTTACGGACCGGAAGGTTGGCGCAAGAGCACAACAGCATACTGAGACTTGGACGCCCTAAGCCTCCAGCCTTTGAACAACGACCTTTTGCCACACTTGTACAGGCAGAAAGTCGCAGGCGATTCCTGACCAGCCCGAAACCTCCCTCTCGCGTGCAATGCGCGGGCTCCAAAAATTGGATCCCCTCATGTCCCCTCTGCCTCTCTATCAAGATTGTCTCCCGGGATCTCAGCCTTCAACGTGTGGAGAAGTATCATGTCCTAGTCTTGCTACGTTTAGTTGAGCGATTTCCGCAACCCCTCTCACCTGTTCTTGGTCCAACCCCCCGCGTTTGCACAGGCCAGTTTTTGAGGGTCGGGTCACAAAGCTTTATGGTTAAGTTAGGGGTCCTTCCTGCCTCTGCCCTGAATGCCAGAAAGTGAGGCCGCGAATCTTAAACCAGAGCCAGAGCCCGAATCCCGCCAAGCACGCACAAGCTCCCCGAAACTTGGTCGTCTAAAACCTTGATTGGAACATGCCTCTTGTCTTGTGCTTGGATATGGGGTCAAAGCTGCTGTATTCTTCTGCCATCCCGAGCTAGTGTAGCCAGGTTTGCAGCCTCACTTGTGCAGGCGCATCTGACCAACAGCAGGAGCTCCATCAGCGGCTGCGCTCGGATCCAGTGTTGTGCAAGCATAGGATGGGTGTCATGGCTCGCGGGAGCATAAGGTTTCAATCAGACGCGATCTTTATGAGGAGACTTCTTATGGACCCATGTGGCCGTGCACCTGAGCAACTGCGCAAGCTCAGGTTGTGGCATTCGCTTTTCTCCGAAGAACCTCATCCTTGCTGGCGCATGCTGGCGCCTCGCGCTTAGACAGAAGCTGGCGCCGACGAGCACGTCATGAGACGGGAATGTTGGCTGATACGGGAACCCTCCGAAATTGATTTTGGTTGTGGCATTTAATTATAGTTTCCCCGCTTGGTTGTGCAAGCCGTGGTTGATGATGCAGATTCGTTGAGCGCATCCACATAAATGTGGCAGTTCTGCAGACATGTCCATGCAGTGACTCGGGGACCGGTGTCTTTTGATGATGTGCACAAGACGGGTTCTTTTGAAGCAAGCACATTCTGTTTTGACAATGCTATAGGGCTACCTTTCTGCACAGGCAATACGTGAGTATGCGGAATATGGACGAACGATAAAGATGCCACCATCCTGTGGCAAACGAGATGAGTCAAAGCACCCCTGTGGAGGTTTCAACAGTGTGCCAGTTGGCTTCGCCAAGATGAGGCGTGATCATATCCTGAGAGCCGTGAAGCACACTTCTCGCTTTCAATATATCTTCTGGAGAATGGTTGGTTGGTTCTTGGAATGCGTATAAGGCTAGCAAGAGCCCAATCCCGAGCTAGTAAGGCTGGCCAGAGGCGGGAGCGGGGGATTTCAGCAAGGACTCTTAATGAATGGGGACCTCTGTGGGGGGTAGTATGGGGACTACCTGTTGATATGGGGGATTTCTCAGCAATATATATATATATATACATAAGGTTTCTATCTGGCACTGGTATATGCGGATAAAGGGGACTACGTGGTTATGTAGGGGATTTGTCAGCATTCTAGAATCCCTATAAAGAAGCAAACCCTAAAAATTCTATAAAGCAAATGGGATTAGGGGTCTGTCCTCAAGCTCCCTCCTGCGGCGACGGCAGCGAAACTACGACCCAAGTGGATAAGGTTTAGGGGTTTAGGGGTTCCTAATTATGTGAGGACCCCCAATGAAAGCCTTACATAAGGGCTCCTTTGCAAGTCAGGTTGCAAATCACAGCTGGATCGCTTGCTTGGAACCCTGCTTGCCCGATGCAGGACCACCTGGTTTCATTGCATGCACTCCTGCAGTGAAGCATCGAGGACCGAGGCGACTGGGCCGGGGATGGGATTTCAGTGCTTCAGTCCTATTCATTACTACTTGGGGGTTTGGTCGGTTGGGCTTGATTCATGTGCCACGCGCTGCGGAAGCAACATGGCATGAGGTGGCTCGTTGCTGGTCAGCGCGTGTTGCGAAGCGTTTGCAACCTGTTGCTTGTTCGGATCGCTGTCCAGATGGTCCTGCGTCAGCGCCTGGTAAGATTGCAATATCACGAGCATGCCAAGCCTGAGTCGCCCCAGCTCATCTTCCCCAACAAGCCTTTCGCACCAGCATGTTGAACGCTCCTGCTAGGAGCAGCCATGGTGCATGAAGGAGCTGCGCCCGAGCAGGGCAAGAGCACATCCCGTAAATTGACCTTACTTTGTCGCCTCTCTTTTGGGGTAAGAGGCCGTGTTCTGGGCTCCGCCATCCGGGCACTTGTGGCAGCACCCCGCGCCATCAAGTTATCGCCCTCACTGCCCCCACACTCCGGAAGCCATAATTATACGAAGAACCTAACACCACAACATTGGCACTTGTCCGAGAGAAGCTTTTCCTTGGCGAGGCCGAGCAACCCCTTGAAGCCTTCATCAGCAGAGGTCGAGGCCAGCGTGTGTTATTGTCATCATCATTGTTCATCAACCATCACTCAATATTCGAATTCTTCTATCAGTATTAATGCCATATTCTCATAATCATTTATTGTGATTCAGAATTTTCTCTTACGTATTGCTTGGATTTTTTTACTTCGCTACAATCAGGGGATCTTTCCACGTTGACGAAGAGGGGGACTACACAGGGACGGCTTCAGTGGTGGGGTTCAGCTTCGGTCTATAGAATTCATCGTGCCGTACGTGCATTGCGAAAACTGCATGATCGAGTAGCTTGAACCAACTTGTGGAAAGTGGAACAAGTGGCTTATCAAGCGTTCATTGTTGCTCGCAGGCTAATTAATACTCGTGCACGCAACGCACGCGGGCTAGTACTTGAGTGAGAAGCGCAAGAGACTGGTTACATCAGCTTGGTTTGTGCATACGGGAGGTAGAGTTTTGTTGCTAGTAGCTGGCCGCTGATGCATGAAGTCATGCGAATCAAGAGCCTGGCTCCACCTGTTAAGCTGTTAAGCTGTAGCCTGGGATGGTCAAGAATATCCACATGTGTGCCCCCTAAACAGTGAAAAAATGTGCAGAAGATTGTCTTGAGATTCACCCATGACTGCGCGGCACTGTACTGTTCTGCTTGGACATGAAGGGAGTTCTGATAGTGAGGTAGCGCAGCTCACTTTCTAGGCTTGAGCGAGGCAGTCGGGGTAAGGCCGTTGAAGTGCAAGGGCTACATCGTGCTTTCTTGACGCGTGTGACACGTTTCCATTCGCTGCCAACCCTTCTGCAAGCAACAGATTTCGTGGCTTCGTTTGATGGATTGAGTTGTTTCCCCAAACTTCGAGCAAGTGCGTAGCAGTTCCCAGCGGATGCTCGCTGAACGGGCCTGGAATCCAGGGCGCTAAGCCCACATCCTCAACCACAAACCTTGGAACTATCACCCACGAGGATGTTGGGCTGTAGGGATGAGCCAGCAACACATTCACAGCATCCTCACGCAAACCTTCGCGCCAAGCCAAAAAGCTTCCATCATACAGCGCAGACCTCAAACTGTCAAACTCAACCCGAATCAGTCAAAACCTCAAATTTTGTGCCCCAGACCCCCCA